CATAAAGGCAACTGGGGTTACTATTCTAAGTATGTCTTTCTAGGGATATTCTATAATTACATGTTACTTTTATTTTATTGATTTATTTTTTGAAACAGGGTCTCATTCTTTTGCTCAGGCTGGAGTACAGTGGTGCAATCATGGTGCACTGCAGCCTCAACCTCCTGGGCTCAAGCAGTCCTCCCACCTCAACCTCCCTAGCAGCTGGGATTACAGGCACACACCACTATGCTGGGCTAATTTTGTATTTTTTGTGGAGACTGGGTTTCTCCATGTGGCCTAGGCTGGTCTCAAACTCCTGGATTCAAGTGTTCCACCATCCTTGGCCTTTCAAAGTGCTGGGATTACAAGGGTGAGTCACCATGCCCAGCCCACATGTTACTTAAAAATCTGAAGGAAAAAGAAAACCCCTATTTAAAAAATAAACTGCACTTTCGGAGGCTGAGGCAGTCAGATCACTTGGGGCCAGAAATTATGGCCAACATAGCGAAACTCCATCTCTACTAAAAATAAAAAAAAAATAGCTGGCCATGGTGACTGCGTGCCTGTAATCCCAGCTATTCAGGAGGCTGAGGCACAAGAATCACTTGAAGCTGGGAGGTGGAGGTTGCAGTGAGCTGAGATCATGCCACTGCACTCCAGCCTGTGCAACAAAGGGAGACTCTGTCTCAAAATAAATAAACAAACAAACTGGAACTTTGATTCTGTCAAGGTTAGTAAGGTCAACGTAGGTGTTACTCCAGCCTTGTTGATAAAGTGTGATCAAATGAAAGTGTGTGTGATGCAAAGGACTTTCTGAATTGTGTATATATGTTAACTATAATAATCTTGCATGTTTACATATCTTTCATGAAAGATATTCACAAAAGTACTGGGATACCAACATCTAAACCTTATTGGAAGGAAAGATACTAATTCCCTTAATCAATAAATGCTTTCTAAGGTCTTTCCTCAAAAGCTAAAGCTATTCATGAGCACTTGTAGAAGGAGAGGCAGAATTGCCATATACTGATGGTAATAAAAGGAAACAAAAAAATGTATTCCCACTTTAGTTGTTGGGTTTTTTCTTATTTTTATGAGAAATGCCAAATATATCCACATCTATAGGTAACTATAGATATAGTAGGTTTCTTTGCTTTTGATTTCATACTTAACTATAAAAACCTGTGGTGATATTTGAGCAATGAATTAATGTCTCCTTGCCTGGAGACCATGTATGAGATAGGTATAAATAATGTTCATTAAAACCAGATTTTAGGCCGAGCACAGCGGCTCACACCTGTAATCCCAGCACTTTGGAAGGCTGAGGCAGGCAGATCACCTGAGATCAGGAGTTCTGAGACCAGCCTGGCCAACATGGTGAAACCCCATCTCTATTAAAAATACAAAAAAATTAGCTGGGCATGGTGGTGGGTACTGTAATCCCAACTACTTGGAAGGCTGAGGCAGGAGAATTGCTTGAACCGGGGAGGGGGAGGTTGTAGTGAGCCAGGATGGCGCCATTGCACTCCAACATGGGCAACAGAGCAAGATTCCATCTCAGAAAAAAAAAAACCACCAGATTTAAAAAATATGTTTAACTTTTTATTATTGACCTGTTTAAGCTTAATCGAAAGTATAATGACCTCGCTCTGTACCTATCACCCAACTTTAGTAGTTATTAAGATTTTAGTGTTCTTAAAATCTTACATTTTTCAAAACACTGAAAGTTCACAGATCTCTTTATTATTCAGTCATTCTTTTCTTTTTCTTTTTTTGTTTTTTGTGACAGAGTCTCGCCCTGTTGCCAGGCTGGAGTGCAGTGACACAATCTCAGCTACCTGCAACCTCTGCCTCACAGGTTCAAGCGATTCTTCTGCCCTCAGCCTCCGAACTAGCTGGGACTATAGGCGTGGGCCACCATGCCCAGCTAATTTTTGTATTTTTTTTTTTTTTTTTAAGTGGAGACGGGTTTCACCATGTTGGCCAGGATGATCTCTATCTCTTGACCTCGTGATCCACTCGCTTCGGTCTCCCAAAGTGCTGGGATTATAGGTGTGAGCCACCACACCTGGCCCAGAGTCATTATTTTCTTAGTAACTTTTGGAGACGTTTTCTAACTTGTAGATTTGGATTTGTGTTCCCAATTTCTTCTTAGACAATCTAACAAATTTCCATTCTAATATAATGTAATGGGACACACGACAGAATCAAAGCTGGGGTAGAGTGACCCACCCCAAGTAAATTGGCCCAAGTCCAGTTTTCTGGATCTGTTTATACAATTTTTCCTTGACTAGATATTTAGAGCAGGCCCAAAAAGTTGAAGATAAGGACTTATCTGTCATTCATGGTGTAGGGACTGTCATTACGCTATACTCAGGCTTGAAATTATTAGGATTTCTTTTATATCTTGCCCAATTATGTATATATAAAATAATATATACCATCTTGGTAACCCAGCTATATGTGTATGTGTGTGTGTGTGTGTGTGTGTGTGTATCCAAACACATATATGTGTATATATGTATAGATATGTACATATATGTGGGTATATATGTGTATATATACATACATATATAAGAATATATATTCTGTGTTACTTTTATATGGAAAAGTAAAAATCTTTGAATAGGATAGACTTGCCTATTTCAAAATCAGAATACAAAAGTGTAAAATAAAAGTGTCCTTCCATTCCCATTTCCTCCATGAAGACAATTGGGGTTACCTATTCAAAGTATATCTTTCCAGAGATATTCTATAAATTCATGTTTTTGTTTTTGTTTTTTAAGTTTTTGAAACAGGGTCTCATCTGTGGCCCAGGCTAGAATGCAGAGATGCAAATAATATATATTAGAATATATATCAGCCAGTACGGTGACTCACACCTACAATCCTAGCACTTTGGGAGGCCAAGGCAGATGGATCCCTTGAGGTCAGGAGTTTAAGACCAGCCTGGCCAATGTGGCAAGACCCCGTCTCTAATAAAAATACAAAAATTAGCCAGGTGTCATGGCAGGTGCCTATAATCCCAGATACTTGGGAGGTTGAGGCAGGAGAGTCACTTAAACCCAAGAGACAACGGTTGTAGTGAGCCAAGATCAAGCCACTGCAGTTCAGCCTGGGCAACAGAGCAAGACACCATCTCAAAAAAACAAACAAATAAATAAATAATAAAGAAAAGTATATATATTGTTCTTGTATACATATAGTTGGGCTACCAACATGGAATAAGCATGTATATATGTATATAATCATACCTACCAACATGGTAAGCCTCTAAATTATGGAAATAATTAAGATGCTGAATTAATGTTTTTCAGACCCAATATAATGGGGTCTTTTATCTCTCTTTTTTGAAATTACCATGACTTTTCATTTGGAAATCATCTTGGACCCTTTTCTCTCCCCAGCTTCCCACATCTAGTCAGTTATCAAATTTCTTCTGTATCCATCTCTTTATTTCCATGGTTATCACGTAATTTAGACCCTTTTTACCTCATTACTGAATTACTAGTGTCTCTGTTCTCAATCCATTCATAGTGGGAAGCCAGATTAATCTTCCAGTAAAATGACTGAGATCATCCTTCTTGCCTGTAAAGTTAGTTTTTCATTGTTTCCCCACTGTTTACTGAATTAAATTTGAGCATTCTGTCCCCTGGTTAAGACTGGTGTCCCAAGCCCCCCTGCAACACAGTTCCAACTCATTATTCTAGTATTCTGTCTCATTTTTCTTTTCTTTTCTTTTTTTTTAATCTTTTTATTCCAGGTTGTCAACCCAACCCCCAGAGCAGTTCCAGGCCTTCAGAGAGGAGGTGGCTGTCCTGAGAAGCGTAGGGGCGTAGGGCACGTGAACATTCTGCTCTTTCTTTTCTTCTCTTTTTATTTTTCTTTCTTTTTTTTTTTTTTTTTTTTTTAAGACAGAGTTTCCCTCTTGTTGCCGAGGCTGGAGTGCAATAGTGCGATCTTGGCTCACTGCAACCTCTGTCTCCCAGGTTCAAGCAATTCTTCTGCCTCAGCCTCTCGAGTAGCTGGGATTATAGGTGTCCACTACCATGCCTGGCTATTTATTGTATTTTTAGTAGAGATGGGGTTTCATGATGTTGGCCAGACTGGTCTCAAACTCCTGACCTTAGGTGATCCACCTGCCTCAGCCTCCCAAAGTACTAGGATTACAAGCATGAGCCACTGTACCCAGCTTCTGTTTCACTTTTCTACTTACTGTGATACTATATTTCAATCACATTGAATCCTTGCTATTCCCTAAACATCAATTAATTAAACAGTTAATTCCTTGTGCTTTTCTGCTTTGACTCTGTTCATGCTTTCCCTGTGCCTGGAATACCTTCCCTCCTTCCATCACTCCCTTTCAAATTCTTCTTCCCTTATGGTCTGTTCTCAGTATAGTCTTTTTCATAAAGACTAAGGGGAAATACATTTTCCTTTGAAGTCCACGCATTCCTTGTCTTAAGATTCTTCAGCCTTCTAGTCATTTGCATAGTTGTGTAGATTAACATTTTTAGAGGGTAAGATAGGGAAATGCTAGGGTAATGTCTATATCCTTGGGCCCTTCAAGTGTCTTCTGCAATGTATGTGCTACCAGCTAAGTAATAAATATTTATGGAATTAAAAGTTAAGCTGTATAACCTACAGAATTGAGATCTTCCCCTAGAATTCCTCCAAAATTATAAATATACTAGCCCTAATTGGAATACGAGGATAATCCCATAGAATTCACTTTCTCTCCTAGACCTTAAAAGGATCACACTTGTGTTCATCAATTTGTTTCTCTTAAGAGAAAACAAAAATGTGTGCCTTAGTTTTTACCTTGTAAGAACATGTCTATAGATATCTCAAGTAAGAGGAGGCTCTGTCATTTAATAGTGATTGCTTATATCTCTAAGTTTGGTATGGTCAGTTACTATTATTTGAAGATTTTTTTTGGCGTTATCATCTGTTAACTAGAATAGTGATAAGAAAATCCAGGATGTGTCTCTTTCTATAAAATCAAATTTATTTTTCAGCATGTTTTTTATTTTGATGAAGTCTTTGGTGAGGCATGCACCAATCGGGATGTATACGTGAAGACTACTCACCCACTTATTCAGCATATTTTCAATGGGTACGATAATGATTATTTGCTTTTCTTGCTTTTTATTTTCTATTTTACATTAACTCATATTTTTCTATAAATATCACATGCTTTTTCAGTGCTTTTGACTTAAACATAAATTTGTGTTTTAAGCTACTGAATTTAATTTAGATTCTTCTGAAAACATACAGTACCTCTCTAGGATTTACCAAACATTTAGAAATTTGCAGTAAAATTTCCTTTTACACTGATGACATTATTTCTCTGTGTCTAGTGGGAAAATATATTGTGATAGACAGTGAAAGGGTGTAAAAAAAAAAGATATAAGCTGTTAACAATATAATCCCATCAAAGTCCTCAGAAGAAAAAGGTTTAAAATGGTTGGAGTTAGTCTGAACTTCAATGATAAGAATTATGTATTCTGGCTATAGTTCAGTTAATTTTTTCTTTGGAATTGGATAGATAGGTGAATATCACTTAACAACTTTTTACAGATGTATTTTTAAATTATTATTTACAATTAATAAACATTAAATGGGACAGGAATGATAGTAAGGGCCTCTGTTGTGTATGTATTTAAAATATAGGCATGGGCCAGGAGTGGTGGCTTGCACCTGTAATCCAAGCACTTTGGGAGGCCAAGACAGGAGGATAGCTTGAGCCCAGAGTTTGAGACTAGGCTGGGAAACATAAGGAGACCCTGTCTCCACACACACCAAAAAAATATTTATTTTATTTTATTTTTTTGAGACAGGGTCTTACCCTGTCACCCAAGCCAAAGTGCAGTAGTGTAATCTGGGCTCACTGTAACCTCTGCCTCTCGGGTTCAAGCAATCCTCCCTCCTCAGCTGGGACTACAGGCTCCTGCCACCATGCTCAGCTAATATTCTTGTATTTTTTGTAGAGATGGGGTTTTGCCATGTTCCCCAGGCTGGTCTTGAATTTCTGGGCTCAAACAATCCTCCTGCTTCAGTCTCCCAGAGTACTAGGATTATAGGTGTAAGCCAGCATGCCCAGCCTATAAAAAAAATGATGTGCACCTTGTGGTCCCAGCTACTTGGGAGGCTGAGGTAGAAGGATCGCTTGAGCCCAGGAGGTCAAGGCTGCAGGAACTGTGATCATGCCACTGCACTCCAGCCTGGGCAATAGAGCAAGACCCTTTCTCTGTCTGTCTGTCTGTCTGTCTATCTGCCTGCCTGCCTGCCTGCCTGCCTATCTATCCATCCATCCATTCATCCTATCTCTCTAATCTACCTACTTGTCTATCTGTTTGTTAAAATTGTAGGCATGGGCTGGGCATGGTGGCTCACGCCTGTAATCCGAGCATTTTGGGAGGCTGATGCGGGTGGATCATCTGAGGTCAGGAGTTCAAGACCAGCCTGGGCAACATGGTGAGACCCTGTCTCTACTAAAAATACAAAAATTAGCTGGGTGCAGTGGCTCATGCATGTAATCCCAGCTGCTTGAGAGGCTGAGGCAGGAGAATCGCTTGAGCCCAAGAGGTAGAGGTTGCAGTGAACTCAGATTGCACCATTGCACTCCAGCCTGGGTGACAGAGCAAGACTCTGTCTCAAAAAAAAAAAAAATTGTTAAGTATGTATGATAGAAAATGCCAAATAGCCTGCTAGTGGTGCTGATTCCAGAAAATTTGACTGTTTTTTTTTAAATCAAGGAATAATTTACATAAAGTAAGATGCACAGATCTTAAGTATTCAAGTTTGATGAGTTTTGATAGTTGTATATACATAAGTAACAAATAACTGTAACAAGACATGGAATGTTTTCATCACCCCAAAAAGTTCTCTTGTATCCCTATTTAGTTAATCCCCCACCTCCACTGCCAGGTCTTAGGTAACCACAGACTTTCTGTCAGTATAGATTAGTTTTGTTCTACAGTATAGAAATAGAATCATTATAATATATGCTTAGCATAATGTTTGCTTAGCATAATGATGTTTTTATATTAGTACATGTTGTTACATATATTAATGATTCTCATTGCTGAGTAATATTCCCATCTATGAAATTATCAGTTTGTTTTGTCCATTCTCCTGTTGACAGACATTTGCATTGTTTCCAGCTTTGGACTTTATTCATAAAGTATGAACATCCTTTTTTTTTTGAGACGGAGTTCTGCTCTTGTCCAGACTGGAGTGCAGTGGTCTGATCTCAGCTCACTGCAACCTCTGCCTCCCAGGTTCAAGCAATTCTGTCTCAGCCTCCCAAGTAGCTGAGATTACATGTATGCACCACCACGCCTGGCTAATTTTGTATTTTTTAGTAGAGATGGGGTTTCTCCATGTTGGTCAGAACATTCTTGTACAAGGTTTTTGGGAGCATGTTTTCATTTACTTTGGGTAAAAACCTAGAAATGTCATTGCTGGCTCATAGGATAGGTGTATGTTTATAAGAAAGTGTCAGTTGGGCACAGTTGTTCACACTTGTAATTTCATACTTTGGGAGGCCCAGTCAGGAGAATCACTTGAGCCAGGAGTTCAAGACCAGCCTGAACAACATAGTGAGACTCTATCTCTAAAAAAATTTAAAAATTAGCTGGGTGTGGTGGAACATGCCTGTAGTACCAGGTTCTTGGGGGGGTTGAGGTAGCAGGATTGCTTGAGCCCAAGAGATCAGGCTGCAATGAGCTGTGATCACTGCACTCCAGCCTGGGCAACAGAGCAAGACCCTGTCTCGAGAAAAAAAAAGGGAAAATGTCAGACAACTTTTCTAAGTGTACCATTTTATACTCCCAACAGTAAGGTATGAGAATTGCAGTTCTTCAGCAACTGATATTGTCAGGCCTTGTTAGCCTGTATAATGGGTATTAAATCATCTCATTGTAGGTTTAATTTGAATTTCTCCAATGCTTAATGATACTGTGCTTCTTTTCATGTTTTGTTTTGTTTGAGATAGAGTCTCACTGATGCTCAGGCTGGAGTGCAGTGGTGTGATCTTGGCTCACTGCAACCTCTGCCTCCCGGGCTAAAGTGATTCTTGTGTCTCACCCACTCGAGTAGCTGGGATTGCAGGTGTGTGCCACCACACCTGGCTAATTTTTGTATTTTTAGTAGAGACAGGGTCTTGCCATGTTGACCAAACTGGTCTCGAACTCCTGGCCTTAAGTGATCCGCCTGCCTCAGCCTCCCAAAAGTACTGGGATTACAAGCGTGAGCCACTGTGCCTGGCCCTTTTTGTATTCTTACTGACCATTTAGATATCTTCATTTGCCCATTTTTTGTGTGTTTTGTTATTGTTTTATAAAAGCTATTTAATTTTTAAAATTTTATGAGCAGGCTAAAAATGTGAAACACCTCTTAGGTTCAATTTCTTATACACTAAGTCTGAGGAGTAAGTTTCTAACAAAGTTAGAATTTGAATGTTAAGACTTTAGTAATAACAAATAAGAGTTGCAAATTAAGTGTATTCATTCTTTAAAGTGTAATAAGGTTTTTCACACCTATATTTGTTGTTTTTTGCAAAAGCTTATCCCTAAACTGTTCAGAAAGTAAAGTAGATACTATTCCTTCCTCTTACTATGCTGGATCTTCCTTAACGGTGTTCAGATTTTTCTCTTATAATTCTTTTCCTAACTCCGCTCTGCCAGTGTACTTACCACACTGCTGGGAGCCAGGGTTCAAAAGGCAAAGAGTAACTGGTCTCTGCTCCAAGCAGCTTATATCTAATTAACTCCCATGTCTTGATTCTGTCTTATCCATGGCTCCCTTGCTTTTGTCATTTTACTCTGTTTTCTACCTGGCTTCAAATCTTTTCCTGTGTACTCATCTCTCTGCCCACCTCCAGTCTCGCCCTATCCCTGTCCATGCTGTAAATGAAAGAAAATGACCCAAGCAAGTCTCAATCACTGTACATTTATTTGTCAAATTTAAGAATGCGTGCCCAGGAGACAGGTCTATACCTTTCTCCAAAGACAATTTGAGGGCCAGGATGGTCTCAATCTCTTGACCTCGTGATCTGCCCAGCTCAGCCTCCCAAAGTGCTGGGATTACAGGTTTGCGTGACCCAGTTCCCAGCTTGACTTTTCCCTTTGGCTTAGTGAGTTTGGAGTCTGAGATTTATTTTCCTGTCACAATGCATAGACTTTTTTCTTGCTGCAAGCAGTTACTTTTATCATTAATCCATGAGATTCACGTTTAAGACTCTGTAACAGCACTGAGATTATGTTCATTCTCTACTCACTGCATAGGTGAATCCCACAATACTCAGATAATCTTGGCCTCCAACTCCTCATAAAACATACTGTGATTGACAGGCTGGTCTTCCAACTCCATTCTCCGAGACCTCTTATTCTCAAGTTCTTCACACTCATAGAGGGTGTGTATGCACACATGTACACACATACAAGAGCAGTGCTTCTCACTTAGAATCATAGGACATCAAGACTGGAAGGGATTTTAGAAACCAAGTAACTCAATCTACTGATAAAAGTGAAAACTGAGGCCCAGAGAAAAGTGAGGAGACTTGCCTAAGGTCATATGGTTAGTTAATGGCAGGGCAGAAACCAGAGCCCAGGTTTTTTTTTCCCCTGAAGATTTGGTGTGCCTGCCACTACCTCTGCTACTGTGGCCTGTGCTCATGCTTTTCCTGCTCCACAGTGGAAGCTCTCTGACCCCAACCCAATTCCTACTCTTTTAAGTCCTTCCTCAAATTCTTTGCTTACATTGATTTCACCTTTATCTAAACTTCCTTAATTATGAGTCGTTACTACCATCCTACTTACAGCATGATCTATTATTTCTTGTATTTAATTCTCTATTCTTTCACTAAACTTAACTTTCCAGATTAAGAGTAGATCATCTCTAGGATCCTCTAAAGCACCTAGCATGGGGTAGGAACTCAGTAAATGCTTATTGGCTAAGTGGTTTCATTAAAGCCCTTGTTTTATTTCTCTTACTGGTTCTGTAAGAAAATTACTATAAGAAAACTCAGGCTGGGTGTGGTGGCTCATATCTGTAATCCTAGCACTTTGGGAGGCTGAATGGGCAGATTTCGAGACCAGCCTGGGCAACATGGTGAAATCCCATCTCTTCTAAAAATACAAAAACTAGCTGGGCATGGTGGTGCATACCTGTAGTCCCAGCTACTCAGGAGGCTGAGGCAGGAGAATCACTTGAACCTAGGAGACAGGTTGCAGTGAGCCGAGATCATGCCACTGCACTCTAGCCTGAGTGACAGTGAGACTGTTGCTAAAAAAAAAAAAAAAAAAAAAAAAAAAAAAGAAAAACTCATGTACTGGTTTGAGAATTTTTTTTTTCCTCTGTGTTTTTATAATGTAAAGTCCTTTTCTCCTTAAAGGTTTCTATGTTTTTAGCTGAATTTTCTCTAGGATTCTATGTTTGTGTTTGACCTTTGTCATTAAAAATCTATGTGTAAGCTAATACTTCTCTTAATATGCATAAGTAATGCAAATTATCCTTTCCCCAGAGGCAATGCCACTTGCTTTGCCTATGGACAGACAGGTGCTGGAAAGACCTACACCATGATAGGAACTCATGAGAACCCAGGATTGTATGCTCTAGCTGCCAAAGATATCTTTAGGCAACTAGAAGTATCGCAGCCAAGAAGGCATCTCTTCGTGTGGATCAGCTTCTATGAAATTTACTGTGGACAGCTTTATGACCTCCTAAATAGAAGAAAAAGGTACTGAATAGGAGTGGGAAGGGATAAACCTTTTCGTCACTGTTTTAAGCCAGAGTCCTGGAGAATCACTGAATCATGGGCTTTAATGAGATGCTTTGGTACATTAGTGCCCTTTTGTGAAATGAGCCTCCTGCATCAGGAGGTTCATGCATCCTTAATTTTCTAGCCATCAATTCAGCTATAGGAAAATGTAAATTCGATTTTCATTAATATTTTTTAAAGTGTTCAATATTCTGATGTCTATCAAAAGACTTTCCCTTTTATTTTGGTCTATGAAAAAGGTCATAATTTCTGGAAGTTAGGAAATTAACATGTACTTAAACTCCTTCCTGTTCTTTTGACCTATTATACTAGAAAAACTATAAATAATGTTTTCCACTTTCTCTTGGTTTTCCTTTAAATAATCTTAGGGTAAATGCAATGATAGTTTTCTGATCCATAAGAAGAAAAAAAATCTTCTCATTAGAATTTTAACCCTTATTAGGCTTAAATTATTGCCCTCACAACATAATATAGTAATTTAAAAATGTATTCCATAACTTTACTTTTAAACACCTATTATATTTTTCTGGCATGAAGTTTTCATTTAGGTTGGAACAGATGACTTAAACTGAGGAGAAAAAAGAAGTTGTGGAGGAAATGGAAGAATAGAGGTTAGAGGGAGAGGGAAGGTGGAAGGATTAAAGGTTGTCATAACAGAATTAACCAGGCTTGAGACGTGGGAGGAGTGAATTGAGGCTGAGCCTGCTAGAAGGCGAGGGAAACCTAATCAGCTTGAGACTAGCCTTCCAACAAAGCTATGCAAGCCTCTATGGAGCTGTCCAAAAAGATGCACAGGCTTCATGTGCTCCGAGCCAGCAGTGGAATGGGGAGTGCGGGAGCAGTTCCAGTTCAACAGGAGACCGTAATAGGGCAGGCCCCCATTGTAAATGGTCACTAGGGTAGGAGAATTGGAGAATCCAGCAAGTGGGCTTAGGCTGGCCACTCTCCTATAAACTATTCCATTGAAAAGAAGACCTTCAGATATGCCACTTGAGATTGTATAGGTGTTCAGAGTTCAGTCCTGACAAAACAACTGCGAAATAAAAGAGGGTGCTACGGCCGGGCGTGGTGGCTCGCATCTGTAATCCCAGCGCTTTGGGAGGCGAGGCAGGTGGATCACGAGGTCAAGAGATCAAGACCATCCTGGCCAACATGGTGAAACCCCGTCTCTACTAAAAAAAAAAAAAAAAAAAAAATTAGCTGGGCATGGTGGCGTGTGCCTGTAGTCCCAGCTACTCGAGAAGCTGAGGCAGGAGAATTGCTTGAACCTGGGAGGCGGAGGTGTCAGTGAGCCGAGATCCTGTCACTGCACTCCAGCCTGGCGCCTAGCAGCAGAGCGAGACTCTGTCTCAAAAAAAAAAAAAAAAAAAGAGGGTGCTACTCTGGGGATGCTTGAGAAAGAGTCGCCTTTCTTTTTTACCTTCTTGGTGTTGACGTCTGGAATTAGCTCAATCACAGCTTCTCCATCAAGCTCCAACGCCCTCTGACTGGACCCCTTTCCAGTCAGAATGCTCACTTCCCTTAAAGAACAATTGCCATAGAATAAAAGCCAATTGTGCTCACTTGCTGGGGCACCTGCTCTCTCGCTCGCGCGCGCTCTTTCTCTGTGTGTGTGTGTGTGTGTGTGTGTGTGTTTGTGCGTGTGTGTATTGTTTGGGTGAAGGGAGGTTAGGATATCCAGCTCTTTCTGAATGCATTTCTTTAATGAATTGCTTAGATTATTGCCCTGTATATTTGCATTCCTCAGTTGTAGCAGGGGGATAGGCATATATTAACTCCTGGGTTTGACACTTCTCTGAGGCTCACTAGGGAAGACCCCTGCTTACTCTACAAGTGTCATAGCCTGTGGGAGATTAGATAGATAGATAGATAGATAGATAGATAGATAGATAGATAGATATAGATATAGATATATCTCCATTTAATTGGCTAATATAATCTCTTTATTTCCTACCTTTCTGGGGCTTCTGAAATGTTCTGGTCCATTGATGGCATCCTTTCCTGTTTATGCTGTTATGCTTTATCCTGTCGATTCTTTTTTCTTTTTCTGAGGCAAGGTATTGCTCTGTCGCCAAGGCTAGAGTACCGTTGTGCCACCACAGCTCACTGAAGCTTCATCCTCCTGGGCCGAAGTGATCCTCCCACCTCAGCTCCCAGATAACTGAAATTACAGGCACCTGTCACCATGCTCTGATAATTTTTATTTTTTTGTAGAGACAGGATCTTCCTCTGTTATCCATGCTGTTCTTGAGCTCCTGGGCTCAAACAGTTCTCTTGTGTAGGCCTCCCAAAGTGTTAGAATTACAGGTTTGAGCCACTGTGCCTGACCAATTTTTTAATAAGATATATTTTCTATAATAGTGGGACTTTGACAAGGGTGGACAAAAGTATGTATTTTCAGTCTGACTCTTAAACTGGAAAACAAAGCTTAAGGATATTTAATTCCTAGAAGTACAGGATAAATTGTTTTTATACCCTTGCATAAAGATTGAAGTACATTTTAGGCTGTCCATGAGGAATCTTTCTGGGGTAAGCTCAGAGATTAAGGCCTGGGAAATATGTTTAGGAGTGACAGGAGGGCTCTAAAAATTAGATCTTCCTTTTTTTTTTTCTTTTTAAACAGTGATGGGCTCTTGCTACGTTATACAGGCTATAACATAGTGACTATTCACAGGCATTATCACAGCATACTACAGACTCAAACTCATGAGCTCAAGCAATCCTCCTGCCTCAGCCTCCTGAATAGCTGAGACTACAGGCACACAGCACTGCACCCAGCAGCTAGATTCTTTTACTCCAGAAGCCTAATAGATTTGTTTTCAGAGAGATTATGAGCATTGGTGAGTCTGTTTCCCTCCAGTTCTTCTGTAGAGATCTGGAAAATTGGGATAAAGTATAGACTGAGAAAAAAATTATATTTGAGAAAATCATTCTTGTATTTTAAATTATGAAGTGGAATTCCATTCTTAGCCCTGATCAGTATCTTATTAAGAGGGAAAAATAATCTTAGAGTCTTTGATAGATTCAACATGGCTCTCAGTAGATCTGATTTAATGATGATGGTAGACCATAACCATTTATTACCTTAAATGCAGGCCTAAGGCATTCAGATGCAGCCCAGCTCTTCCTTGCTCCCTTATAAGATGTATCAGGACCCTTTACATTGAAAATAAAAGAAAACTCCATGTATACTAGCTTATGCATTTAGGGAAATCGTTGGCTGAAATAATTGAAAAGCTTAGAGGACATTCAGTCTTCAGCATTGGTTTACTCCAGCAGCTCAGGGATGCAATAAGGACCCAGTTTAGTTGCATGTCTTCATTCTGTCTTCTGTGTTAGTAGTTTCATCCTGAAACCAATTCTCTTTGTAGATACAAAATGGTTGCCACTGCTCCCAGGGCCAGAGGTCCATATTCTTTCACATCCAGGGACAAAGGGAGAGCATCACATCACCAGGCGTCTAACAACCAGAGACCAGGACTTTATTTTGATTGGACCAGCAGAGATCCCATGTCCACTTCTAAACAAATCACAGTGTAGCCAGGAATACATCATCCACTGATTGGCATAGGTTTAGATTATGTGCTCATTCTTTTAATTATAGCCAGAGATGTTGATTTGTTTTACAACAATCAACAACCACCCCTGAATCATAGGGCTAAGGTCAGGAGGGTGGGGTTGTAGGGAAGAGAAGCATCCATCCCACTCAGACAGAAAACTGCTGCTTTATAGAGGAATGGTGGAATGGTTTCTGGGGAGGCAAGGACAAAGTCTGTTAGAGTAGCACCATCATACTAACCACGTTCTTATCTGCAGGCTCTTCGCAAGAGAAGATAACAAGCACATGGTACAGATAGTGGGACTACAAGAACTTCAGGTGGATAGTGTGGAGCTCCTCTTAGAGGTAATTAATTCTTCCTTCTTTATTACTCCACTGCAGCAGTGTAAGTACATGAGACAAATTCATTTTGCTACTAAGCAAGTACAGTGAACTTATATTTAGGCAAAGGGCAATGGCAAGCACACCACATCTGTAAAATGTGAATCCTTTTCTGAGAGGATAGCTTGTTTCTCTATTAGGGTTGATGGCACAATGCCATGGTTAGTGGGAGGTAGGGTATATGGGAGAACCTAATAGATTAGAAAGATACTACCAGGCCAGTTGCTTTTCTTTTTCTTTCTTTCTTTTTTTTTTTTTTTTGAGATGGAGTCTCACTCTGCCTCTGGAGTACAATGGCGCAATCTTGGCTCACTGCAACCTCTGCCTCAAGGGTTCAAGTGATTCTCCTACCTCAGCCTCCTGAGTAGCTGGGATTACAGGCACCTGCCACCACGGCTGGCTAATTCTTTGTATTTTTAGTAGATACAGGGTTTCACCATGTTGGCCAGACTGGTCTGAATTAGATACTTTAAAAAACTGAGTCAGGTGTGGTGGCTCACACCTGTAATTCCAGCACTTTGGGAGGCCAAGGCAGGCAGATCATTTGAGATCAGGAGTTTGAAACCAGCCTGGCCAACATAATGAAACCCCGTCTGTAATAAAAATACAAAAATTAGCTGGGTGTGGTGGTGGATGCCTGTAATCCCAGCTACTAGGGAGGCTGAGGCAGGAGAATTGCTTGAACCCGGGAGGTACAGGTTGCAGTGAGCAGAGATTGTGGCATTGCACTCCAGCCCGGGCAACAGAGCGAGATTCAGTCTCAAAAAAAAAAAAATTATGAGAAAAGACACTCACTGAATGAATTAATACATTGATCACAGTATTCTGTTATCATTTGCTTAAAATTGGGTGTTTAAAGGACTGTTTAATCTTCAAATAACAGGGTTTGCGGGAATTTTTGTTGCTGCTTTTTAACAATTAAGACTTGGGACTTGAGTGTGTGCAGTAACATGGTGGCCCATCATTAGTATGTATCTTTTTCTAAGTTTCTTTTTCCTGAGACAAATACTGTAGGTAAATTTTGCTTAAAGGATGAGACTTCGCTTTGTGTTATTAGATTCCTGGGTCCTGGGATCCAAAATCTGAGTATAGTGCCCAAGTGTGTCTGTTTTAGAGGGTCACCTAAGAGCATCTTTCTAGTGATTGCAAAGGTAGGCACAGAACAAAAGTGTGTGGGACATGCTGAAGGGCTGCCCTTGGGCTGTGACCATCTTCCCCAGAGCTTCCTCCACTGTGGAGTCCTAAGGAAATTGTTTCTCATACTCTGTTCCCTGTGGCCCTTTTGCCCCTACCTCCAGCCATTCCCTCATTTGGCCGGGAACGTCAGGTGAGTCTGGTCCTCAGGATTCCTTTGTCACTGAAGATTAGACCAATTAAAGGGGAAGCAAGCAAACACTAGGAAGAAGACTCTTTTGCTTGCCTTTAGGCCGTATAGCTGGCAGTCTGGTGTTGAGTCAACCCCTCCATCCTGGAAGAGTTTATGGCACTGTTCTATTCTAAAGTATGGTTCCTAAGAAAAGCAGAAAAAAGTTTCTTGTTAGTCAATACATTATTGCCATTGATACCCTCAGTCTGCAGTACATATGGTATTGTACAAGGAGAAAGCCAGCTGAGATCAAGGTGGAAAGTTTCTATAATTTATGGATATCTGACACAGTTATCCTCATAAACATTTATTGACTCAAGAAACAACAGCACTTGCTAACTCAGGTGTCACTGTTCATACTCACTCAGGTATCACCCATGTGTTTGCTCAGGTATCACCCTCAAGTGTCATCTTTGAGTGTTACCCTCTCAGATCACCCTCAGGATTACTCAGGCATGGCCTGCCTGCACAACTGGTAGCTTCATTATTCTCATGGGATCATCCTACAGGACGTTTCTCCTTCCAAGTGTGTTTGATTACCTGGTCTTGCCAATGCAGGCACCAGAACTTCACCCTGAGGACTCACTGCCTCATCACATTTCCCAGATTTGGAATTGACATTTTGTTAGACAGTTAATGGCATTTTTTCAGTTTTAAAGATTGATAGTTTTAAGTCATTCCTATACCCATTTTATATAGTCAGAGGTATGCAGTCCCAGGAATTTTGATAAACTTGTTTCATGTTTTATCATTGCCTTGGCTGTATAATGCCATGTATCCTTGAGCATATCCTTTACCTTTCTGAGCCTGAAACATGTAAATAATGATAGCTGATTGGTTTGGATGATGGGGAGAAGGAAGTGAGACAACATATATAAAATTTATAGCATGATGCTGGCTCAGTTTTCCACATGTATTACTCTTTTTTTTTTTTTTTTTTTTTTGAGACGGAGTCTTGCTCTGTTGCCAGGCTGGAGTGCAGTGGCGCAATCTCAGCCCATGGCAACTTCTGCCTCCCCAGTTCAAGTGATTCTTCTGCCTCAGTCTCCCAAGTAGCTGGGAATACAGGTGCCTGCCATCACACCCAGCAAATTTTTGTATTTTTAGTAGAGATGGAGTGTCAGCATGTTGGCCAGGCTGGTCTTGAATTTATAACCTCATGATCCGCCCGCCTCAGCCTCCCTAAGTGCTGGGATTACAGGCATGAGCTACCATGCCCAGCCTTCCACATGTATTATTAAGTCCCTGAATGATATTTTCCAGCACCACCACAGTTTTTTGGTTTTTTATTTTTTTGAGACACGAGTCTCACTCTGTCACCTAGGCAGGAGTGCAGTAGTACAATCACAGTTCACTGCAGGCTCAACTTCCTGGGCTCAAGCGATTCTGCCATGTCAGCCTTCTGAGTAGCTAGGACCACAGGTGTGCACCACCACACCTGGCTAATTTTTTTTTTTGTTAATTTTTTTGTAGATGTTGCCCAGGTTGTTCTTGAAGTTCCTGGGCTCAAGTGATCCTCTACCTCAGCCTCCCAAAGTGCTGGGATTACAGGCATGAGCCACCACACCATGCCCAGTTTTCATTACTTCCTATTGTATCAGATTTCCATTTTACTATTCTCATAACATGTTATCTCTAGAGAACCTAGATTTAGAAACTTGCCCAACAGAATTTGGTTAGGAAAGGAGTTTGAGAAGGCGGAGGCAGAGGAAAAGGGGGCCTAGTAGTTTTAAAGGTGATTGCATTAATTTTGCTCACCTCCTAGATTTGCATTTCCCCCAAATAGATTCTCTCTTTTTCTTTTATCTGCTTCCTTCATTCCCCCTCACCTTTTTTTGTTTGTTTGCTTGCATTGGGGAGCCTATGGTATTTCACGTTGATCTTCAAATCTATACTTTTCCATGAAACTCTGATTGTTTTACATTTATGAAAAAAAATAGTTTAAGTTTTAGAAGTTTATACAAAGATGTTAGTTCTTCTGTATCTTTTTGTTTTGTTTTGTTTTTGAGATGGAGTTTCACTCCGTTGCCCAGGCTGGAGTGCAGTGGCGTGATCTTGACTCACCGCAAACCTCTGCCTCCCGGGTTCAAGCAATTCTTCTGCCTCAGCCTCCTGAGTAGCTGGGATTACAGGTGCTCACTCCCATGCCTGGCTAATGTTTGTATTTTTAGTACCGATGGGGTTTTACTATGTTGGCCAGGCTGATCTCTAACTCCCGACCTCAGGTGATTCATCTTGCCTTGGCCTCCCAAAGTGCTGGGATTACAGGCGTGAGCTACAAGGCCTGGCCTCTTTGGTATCTTTTCAAAAATTAATATTTATTGAGAACTTACCATGTGCCAGTCATGGTACTAAGTGCTTTAGTTATGTATTGTCTTTTTTAGTCCTAATAACCTATGGAATTCCTATTTTATTTTTGAGACAAGTATCTAGCTCTGTTGCCTAGGCTGGAATGCAGTGGCTATCTCGGTTCACTGCAGTTTCCACCTCCTGGGTTCAAGTGATTGTCCTGCCTCAGCCTCTCAAGTAGCTGGGATTACAGGTACGGGCCGCCATGCCCGGCCAATTTTTGTATTTTTAATAGACACAGAGTTTCACCATGTTGGCAAGGCTTGTCTCAAACCCTTGACCTCAGGTGATTCGCCTCTCTCGGCCTCCCAAAGTACTGGGAGTACAGGCGTGAGCTACCACATCCAGCTGTAATTCTCATTTTATAGATAAGAAACTGAGACCCTTTAAAGTTAAATGACTTGCAGAAGTCTGCACAACCGTATGGTAGAGCTGGCATGTGAACCCTGACAACCTGACATCAGATTTCACCCTTTTAACTGCTATACTTTGGTTGTATGCCATTTACAAAAATGCGATGACTTTGATATTCACAGACTGCCTCATTTTTACTCCTCATAGCTCAGGTGCATTATTACATAGTTTCTGGAAGGCATGACTATAGCAGGCTGTTATTGGAAAAACCTGGACCAAGGGACAGAAATTCCTTATGCCTTCTCTAAAATATATTTAACCAGGAAGGGGCATCTCAGCATGTTAGGTCTCTGAGATGCACTCAGAGATACCCAGTACATTATGGTGTACAAGATGCAGTGAAAAACCAAGTTCAAAACTCTGTAACACAATCTCAAAAGCCAGTCTTTCCTTGACCTTCTTGAGGAAAAACCACAGGGCCCCCCTTTGTATTTCCTGTCAGTATCCACATTTCCTTTCGAAGTATGGCCTTGAGGCCTCTCTGAATTCTCACTAGGTCTCAGTGGACCAGCATCATTAGTAACATGATTACTCTCATGTAGAAGAGGATACCTGGCTTCTATTCCTGACCTGATCATATTCTACCTATGTGACCTTGTATAAATCACTTAGTTTCTCTGTGTTCCTTTTCTTATCAGTCAGACATATTGCTTATACAAATGTAAAGGTTTGAGACCTTCCCTGTCTCCTCATGGGATTTGTAAATGACAAAACTAAAAAAAGCAAAAGAGCTGTGAGAAACCTAAAACTCTAAAACGAAATATATCAGAATTTTATAATCTCTGGGATTATGGGAGATATATATATGTTCTTCTTTATCCTTTTCCTATAATTTCCAAGTTTTCCACAGTAAGTTTGTCTTTTCTAATAACAGAAAAAAAGAAGTTTGAAAAAAGAACAATCTCAATCTATGATGATCCATCAGCATTGCACCCCACCCTATGTAAGCATGAAGTGAAAGGGAGAGAGGGAAGCCAGAGCCAGGAAGTCCATTTAAATTAGATGGTTCAGTCACAGCCCTGACCTTAAGTGTCTTTCCTAGCATCTGAGCTTAGTTAGCAGTGCTTTTTTTCTCAGTACTTGCCATATCTAGGATACAAGATTACCAGTATAACGCCTACGATTTCATTAGCGTAAAGGTGATATCCCTATAGTTGATGATCTAGCTTTATAAATTAGCAGATTCTTCTCTTTACAAAAGGATTCATCATGTTGTCTCTTTAAATTTTTAGCCAACTTTTTACAAAATGGGTGTATTAAAATACGATTTTGAATTTTGATTTTACATCTCACATACAGTTAATCTTTAGAAACATACTATTGCTTAGATCATGGGAAAGCTATTTTTATTTAATTAAATTTCTAAAAAGCAACTGCTACTACTTGTTGAGATATTTTATGTCTTATTGTTGAAGTTTGGCTCTGTCAACTTTTGGATTCTTAATTTGGAAACTGACCATGTTCAATATGATTTAAATTAAAATTGTGAGATATTGAGAAAAAAATGAAATAGGACTTTCTCCTCCTCCTCCTCTCCCACTCCCTCCCTCTCCCTCTCCTCTTTCCTCCTCCTCCTCCTCCTCCTTTCTCCTTTCTCCTTCTTTTTTGGAGATGGAGTTTCTCTCTTGTCCCTCAGGCTGGAGTGCAATGGCACAATCTCCAGTCACTGTAACCTCTGCCTGCCGGGTTCAAATGATTCTCCTCCCTCAGCCTCCCAAGTAGCTGGGATTACAGGCATGCACCACCACACCTGGCTAATTTTTGTATTTTTAGTAGAGCTAGGGTTTCACCATGTTGGCCAGGCTGGTCTGGAACTCCTGACCTCAGGCGATCCACCCACCTCAGCCTCCCAAAGTGCTGGGATTACAGGCACTTTGTCACTACACCCAGCCAATAAAATGTTGTTGACTATAATTGCCCTGTTCTCTTATCAAATAATAGGTCTTAATTCATTCTTTCTATTTTTTTGTACTTATTAACCACCAGCCCCCCACTGCCCTTCCCAGCCTCTGTGGTAACTATCCTTCTACTATCTATGTCTATGAGTTCAATTGCTTTTATTTTTTAGATGCCACACATAAGTGAGAACATGTGATGTTTGTCTTTCTGCCACTGGCTTATTTCCCTTAGCATAATGATCTCCAGTTCCATTCATGTTGTTACAAATGACAGGATTTTGTTCTTTTTTACCGCTGAATGGTACTGCATTGTGTATAAGCACATTTTCTGTATCCATTCATCTGTTGATGGACACTTAGGTTGCTTCCAAATCTTGGCTATTATGAACAGTGCTGCATGGGAGTGCAGATTGTGTTTATGTTTTATTTTCTGGGACATATCCTTAACTTAAAACTTCAAAAAAAAAAAAACCACTAAATCTTACAACCTTTTATTTTATTTTTTCCTCCTGAACCTAATAACCTGATAGTAGGTGATTATTTTTTAAAAGATGGGATTTTTGTCCTCTAGGCTGCCTCAGCCTCCTGCCTGGGACTACAGGTGTGCACCACAGTGCCCAGCTAATTTTTGTAGAGATGGGGATCTCACTATTTGCCCAGGCTCGTCTTGAACTCCTGGGCTCAAGTAATCTCCTGCCTCAGCTTCCCAAAGTGTTGGGATTACAGGCCTGAGCCACCATTCCCAGCCTAAATCTTACTACCTTTTAAGTAAAATTTTTACTTTATCATATTTTAAATTTCCAAGTGCTTTGTCTGTTCCCTCTTTTGGTTTGGTGTTCGTACTGGTGCCTTTGGCTCTCTATTCATGTTTAAGTGTGAGGCCCTACAAAAATAACAGTCACAAAGTTTGTGTGTTGGAGATGTGCTTGCTGATCACTAAGCTTCACCATAGGTTGAAAGTTAATTGGCTTTGCAAAATGTAAACATATGAAGGGCTTGGGAGTTAGAGTTTCTCCAGAGAATTCTGGCTGAGGACTAATGTTGGGGAACGCTGGTGTGTTGCTTAGTCATAATCCTTTTTTCAGTTCTTTCACTTCACTCTGTCCTACACTGTGCCTGGTGCTCTTGGTCCTTTCTGGTCTCTGGTTCACATTTTCTAGAGACTATACCTTCTACTTCCTGCACAGGGTAGAGACAAATGGGGAATGTTTCACCGAGGGTTTTACTGCTCTGGTCACTGACTATGTGTATCTTTGCCCTATCCTAACAGTCCCTCTCAGGAGTCCTAATGAGCTGATAGACTGACTCTCCCCTTTCCTACTTACTTAGTTTATAACTTCATTCCTGGAAATTGCCATCCCTTCATTATCTTTCCACATTCTAAAGTTTCATTGAAATATATGACACCTATAGTCCCAGTATTTTGGGAGACCGAGGTGGGAAGATTGTTTGAGCTCAGGACTTTAAGACCAGCCTGTGCAGCATAGTGAAACCCTGTCTCTATTTTTTTTATTTAAAAAAAAAAAAAAGAAAAAATATATTGTTCACTGCTACTCCCTTTTCTTTTATTGGCTTTAAAGGTGAATATGATTTTAAATTTTTATTTTTAAATTTTTTTAAATTTATTTTTTTTGAGACAGGATCTTGCTCTATCATCACAGCTTACTACACCCTCAACCTCCTGGCCTCAAGCAATCCTCCTACCTCAGCCTTCTGAGTAGCCGAAATTATAGGCATGAGCCACCATGCCCGGCCCAGATAATGTTTTTAAAGTTCTTTGTGGCCAGCTGCAGTGTTGCATGCCAGTAATCCACCACTTTAGGGACTGAGGAAAGAGGATTGCTTGAGCTAAGGAGTTCAAGACAACCCTGGGCAACATAGTGAAACCATGTCTCTACAAAAAATTTTTAAAATTAACCAGGTGTAGCACTGCACACCTATAGTCGCAGCTACTCAAGAGACTGAGTCAGGAATATCTCTCAAACCCAGGAGGTCATGGCTGCAGTGAGCTGTGATCACACCACTGCACTCCAGCCTGGGTGACAGAGCAAGACCCTGTTTCAAAAAAAAAATTTTTTTTTTGCCTTTTTTATTCTCAGTAACTAACACTCATACCCCTGTCCAAAATCAGGGTAGCATGTTCTTAAATGACTGTGTTTTCAGTGGCTGCAGGCCAATCCTGAGGCTTCACCTCCCCTGCCCCATTCCATTGTGGCCAGAGGACTCCTGTTAGTCTTCACTCCCAGTCTAGGGTGAGTGAGGATTAGTCCCAAGGGAAATCATGGGCTCATGGTAATCCACAGTAACTCATCATTTCCGTATTTCTACATCAGGCCTGGCCTCCTTTATGACTGCATCTTGGTAGAACAGGTGGATGTGATTAGTCATTCTGTGATACACATTTATGTCCTTTGCCTCAGTTACTAAGATAGATGTGTTTTATGAGACCTTGCTTTGGAGCCAGTTATGCCTTGGGGATTTTAGTTAGGCTAAATCCATCAAAGATATTAAAAAGAGTATATGAGATCAAGAAGTAAATTAGCTCTTGAGTTATGGAATGTTCTCCCACAAGATTAGTATTTCATATTGTTTTCATTGTCATTGGGTACTAACTAGGTATAATTTAGTGTTTGAGCAGTTTTCCACCTGGACAGAAAAAAACTGCAGTGCACTGACAAAATTATATGTCTGCTCTCTACTGCTCTTAGCCAACTCTTAGTAGCCAGAGGATTTTATTTACTCCTCGGGGAAGTCATCCTGTGGATTTTATTTTCAGGTGATCTTAAAGGGTAGCAAGGAGCGCAGCACTGGGGCCACTGGAGTTAATGCAGACTCCTCCCGCTCCCATGCCATCATCCAAATTCAGATCAAAGATTCAGCCAAGAGGACATTTGGCAGGTGAGCTGGAAATATCAGGGAGTTACATTGTCTACCTTTCCTTTAATGTGACTTTGAAGTATGTTTTCTCAACAACAGGATACCCTGCCACCATGGAGTTCTTCGTTGCAGGGATACAGAATAAGAGTTGTTAGCCCTGATATAAATCATTGTACTAAAGTGTCATCAGTTGATTAACCATGAAGTAATGACCTATTGTTGGTCAACCCTAAATTATTAAAAGGGACATCGATTGCTTCTAACATGAAAAACAGTTTCAGCAGAGAAATAGTAGGGATTGGATCTCGGAGAGCTTACAAGCCAAAAAAGGTGGGGGGAGAAGATTAATTCATTCTTCTTGAAAGAAGCCATAAGACAATTGGATACATTCATTGCTTCTCTGGTGCTATCTTAGCAAATACTCTGCCACACTGATGGATGAGCCTATCTCATCTCTGAGTAATGAGTGTTTTTCTTTTCTTTTCCTTTTTTTTCTTCTTTTTTGCTGGAATGCTGTTCACAAAAGTTTCTATATAATTACCTAAGTGGTCACTTAAGTGATTAGCATTGTGGTCATTTAGCCTTTAGCCTTTTGGAAATAATGTTTTATTAATTTTAGTCATACTTACTCATAAATAATTAAAACCAATAGACGTGTTTGAGTGGACAGTACCAGCATCAGCTGACAGATCAGAATCTCACGATACTCTTGGAAAGCTAACAGTTATGTTTGTTTGTTTGTAAGATAGGGTTTCACTTTGTTACCCAGGCTGGAGTGTACTGGCATGATCATAGTTTACTGCAGACTGGAACTCTTGGGCCCAAGTAGTCCTCCTGCCTCATCCTCCTGAGTAACTGGGACTCTAGGCATGTACCAGCACACGTAGCTGATTTAGTGTGTGTGTGTGTGTGTGTGTGTGTGTGTGTGTGTGTGTGTGTGTGTAAAGACAGGGTTTCTGTATTTTGCCCAGGCTGGTCTCGAACGCCTAGGCTCAAGAGATCCCCTTGCCTTATCCTCCCAAAGTGCTGAGATTACAGGTGTCAGCCACCGTCAGCCTACCAGCTAATTTTTATAATTTTTTAAGAGATGGGGTCTTGCTATGTTGCTCAGGTCTAGAACTCCAGGCCTCAAGCAGTTCTCTGCCTCAGCCTCGACGTAGCTGGGTTTATAGGTGTGAGCTACCATACCCATCTCAGTAATATGTTTTCTTTCCAGGGGATGGGCCAATGTTAATTTCTTCCAGAGGTCATAGAATGCTGACTGATACAAAAATAAAGCTTCACAGAAGTCACTCCTGCTGTGTCTTTTCTCTAGGATCTCTTTTATTGACTTGGCTGGCAGTGAAAGAGCAGCAGATGCAAGGGATTCAGATAGACAGACAAAGATGGAAGGTGCAGAAATAAATCAGAGTCTACTGGCTGTAAGTAGTTCAAAATCTTTAATCTAAAAATCCTTCTTGAAAGACTTTGCCCTTTACATACAGGCAGAGTGGATGAATGTGGGGTGGAATCAGCAAAGCAACTGCCCTGTTCTTATACGGTAATGGAATGCCAGGATTGGAGACAGAGGCAGACCAGACAGACTCACAGTTCTAGGCAACCCTTCTCTTCTCTCCTTGCTTTCTTTTCCCCTGGTCGATCCATGCCAATTAGGAACAGAAGTATTTCTGCAGTTGCTGAATGGTTAACTCCACTAAGCTTTCTCTCTGAGCTTTAAAATTATATTAATTTTTTAAACATAGAAAAGTAGAACAAATAGTATAATGATCTCCCATATACCCATATACCTGTCAGATTCAACAGACTCAACAGTTACCAACGTATGAAAAAATCTAACCAACCCCATCCCTCCCCCTGGTTAGATTATTTTTTAAATACAGTCTGGCCAATGTGGTGGCTCACACCTTTAATGCCAGCACTTTGGGAGGCCAAAGCAGGCAGATAACTTGAGGTCAGGAGTTTAAGACGAGACTGTACAACATGGTGAACTCCATCTCTATTAAAAGTACAAAAATTAGCCAGGTGTGGTGGCGCATGCCTGTAATCCCAGCTACTCAGGAGGCTGGGGCAGGAAAATCACTTGAACCCGGGAGGTGGAAGTTGCAGTGACCTGAGATCGTGCCATTGCACTCCAGCCTAACTGACAGAGTGAGACTCAATCTCCAAAAAAAAAAAAAGAAAGAAAGAAAATCTTTGTCATCATGTCATTTATTCCTTAAATATTTTATATATCTCATCTGGGCACAGTGGCTCATGCCTGTACTTGAGGTAGATCAGCCTGGCCAACATTGTGAAATCTTGTCTCTACTAAAAATACCAAAAATTAATTGGGCATGATGGCAAGCTCTTATAATCCCAGCTACTCATGAGGCTGAGGCAGGAGAATCTCTTTAACCCAGGAGGTGGAGGTTGCAGTGAGCCAAGATCATGCCACTGCACTCCAGCCTGGGCAACAGAGCAAGACTCCATCTCAAAAAAATTTTTTTTGTATATCTCAAAGAGATACTCTTATTTTTTTAATATAGCCATAATGCTATTATCATACCTAAAGAAGTAATTATTATCCAGTAAGTATTATAATTTATCTAATTGTCCCATAAATGTCCTTTTTTTTTTTTTTGAGATAGAGTTTCACTCTTGTTACCCAGGCTGGAGTGCAATGGCACGATCTCGGTTCACCGCAACCTTCACCTCCTGGGTTCAGGCAATTCTCCTGCCTCATCCTCCTAAGTAGCTGGGATTACAGGCACACACCACCATGCCCAGCTAATTTTTTGTATTTTTAGTAGAGACGGGGTTTCATCATGTTGACTAGGATGGTCTCGATCTCTTGACCTCGTGATCCACCCACCTTGGCCTCCCAAAGTGCTGGGATTACAGGCATGAGCCACCGCGCCCGGCCCTATAAATGTCCTTTTATAGTTAACTTGTTCAAATCAAGATGCAAATAAAATCCTATGTGAGTTCTTACTCCCTCTTTCATTTTTTCTATATCAGTGTATTGATTGAAGGAAACCGGTTCATTGGCCTGTAAGCTTTTCCACAGTCTGGACTTGGCCGCCTGCATCCTTATGTTGGTGTTTAACATGACATTCTGTCCCTTATGTTTCCTATCAGGCGGCTAAGCTCTAGAGCTGTGGTGCTCACTGTGGTAGCCACCAGCCACATGTGGCAACTGAGCACTTGAAATGTGGCTAGTCTGAATTAAGATATGTTAAAGTGTAAAATACACACTGGATTTTGATTACCAGAAAAGCTCGTCGATGGGCCGGGCTCACGCCTATAATCCCAGCACTTTGGGAGGCTGAAACGGGTGGATCACGAGGTCAAGAGATCGAGACCATCCTGGTCAACAAGGTGAAACCCCGTCTCTACTAAAAATCAAAAATTAGCTGGGCATGTTGGTGCATGCCTGTAGTCCCAGCTACTCCGGAGGCTGAGGCAGGAGAACTGCCTGAACCCAGAAGGTGGAGGTTGCGGTGAGCCGAGATCGTGCCATTGCATTCCAGTCTGGGTGACAACAGCGAAAATCCGTCTCAAAAAAAAAAAGCTTGTAGAATATCTCATTTTTTTTTTTCATTATTAACTACATGCTGAAATAGTATTTTGGATATATTGAGTTAAATAAAATACATAACATTAATTTTGTTTCTTTTTTAAAAATATGACTTAGAAATTTAGAATTACATATATGATTTGCATTTATGGCTCACGTATTTCTATTGGGACACTGCTGAATTAGAGGTGTGATCAGATTTAGGTTCTTTTTTTTTTTTTGGCAAAAACAATTCATAGGTAGTTCTTAGACTTCCTATACCAATACATTAGGAGATAGAGAATGTCTGGTTGTCTCTTTTTGTGATTTTAAGATTGAAAAGAGATTCAAGTGTTGTCAGCCTAATTCCTCTATTTTAAAGTTTCCTTTCGGCCTTTATTTTTTATTTTGTTTTATTTATTTTTACTTTGTTTTTCCCTTAGCCTCTAGGTTAAGGACATATCCTTTAGCCATTTTTAACCTAAGAATTTTATCAGCCATTGATGAATCTCATCTATATGTATTATTTTATTAAGAGTTCTAGAAAGATGATATTCTAATTCTAATATTTCTTCTGTATGTTTTAGCTGAAAAGAAGAATTTTTCCTCAACTATCTGATTATCCTGACATACAGTTTGTAGTGGAAGCAAGATGATTTTTTTTTTTTTTTTTTTTTTTTTTTTTTGAGTCGGAGTTTTGCTCTTGTTACCCAGGCTGGAGTGCAATAGCATGATCTTGGCTCACCGCAACCTCCGCCTCCTGCGTTCAGGCAGTTCTCCTCCTCAGCCTCCTGAGTAGCTGGGACTACAGGTGCGCACCACCGTGCCCAGCTAATTTTTTGTATTTTTAGTAGAGATGGGGTTTCAGCATGTTGACCAGGATGGTCTCGATCTGTTGACCTCGTGATCCACCTGCCTCGGCCTCCCAAAGTGCTGGGATTACAGGCTTGAGCCACCGTGCCCGGCCGCAAGATGATTCTTTATTTGCCACTTTTCAGAATTAGTTGGTGTTCTTGTTACCTAATCATAACATAAGTTTGTTTGTTATTGTTGTTGTTTACTTTTTGTATTATTATAAACTCATTGAAATCATTATATATATATATATATTTCTGCTTAAATTCCACATATATGGCCAATAGGAGCTGTTTCAAGAATGTTCCTGTGTCTTTTTGACACAAGCCTACTCATTCTTGATAGTTTCCTGGCTTTCTGATATAACAAGAGCCTGTGTTCTAGGCTTATTTTGTGCATTTCCCTTCTTAGACATCAGATCAGCCATTTCTTCAATGAGCCTTAGTTTCTTTGAGAAGGAAATGGTATTTAGTGATCTCAGTCTATGTGCTAGGTGTGCTTATCACTACTACTTGCTTCTGAGCCTTTTCAATGAACAGAGCTAAAAAAATAAGGTGTTATTTTTTGTTTTGAAAGAGAAAAATGTATGTGGGATTCATAGTAATAAATTAGTTTAAAATTAAGATTGCAGTCCAGGCCCAGTTGTTCACACATACAATCCCAGCACTTTGGGAGGTCAAGGTGGACAGATTACTTAGAGCCCAGGAGTTTGAGACCAGCTTGAGCAACATAATGAGACCCCCACCTCTGCAAAAAATTTAAAAATTAACTGGACATGGTGGCACACGTGTGTAGTCACAGCTACTCGGCAGGCTGAAGTGGGAGGATTGCTTGAGCACAGGAAGTTGAGGCTTCAGTGAGCCATGATTGCACCACTGCAACCAGCCTAGGCAACAAAGCAAGACCCTGTCTCAAAAAATAAACTTTCTGGTCTGAAGAAAGCCAATGAATAATAGTATTTTTGTTTTTGTTTTTGTTTTTTGTTGTTGTTGAATAATAGTATTTTTTAAAAATAAAATTAAAATTACAAGGTTTTTATTTAATTTCTTTAAATGTATATTTGTCTCTTTTTTCTCTTATGCTAGAAATCTTAGTTCCTAACAACATTTATTTCCTCTACTTTAACATATAAATATTTCAAAATAATGCTAATATTATTTATAATATGATTAATTCCATTCAATATTTTTTGCAGTTTTTTTAAAAAATTGGGTTGTGTCCTAAGGATGTACAGTCATAACATTATGTTGTAAAATCACTTGGAATAATTCTTTGTGTTTAAGCCTACCAATTTTATAGTGTTAGGTTCATTTGTTTGGTTTTGGTTTTAAGAATTGCCTTATTTATTTGGATTTAACTTTATTTTGTAATTATTTAAAACATGTAGGCCAGGAGCTGTGGCTGACACCTATAATCCCAGCATTTTGGGAGGTCAGGGAAGGAGGATCACTTGAGCCCAGGAGTTCAAGACCAGCCTGGGCAACATAGGGAGACCCCATCTCTACAAAACATTTACAAATTAGCCGGATATGGTGGTGCGCACCTCTAGCCCAAGCTACTTGAGGCTGAAGTGAGAGGATCGCTTGAGCCCAGGTATTCAAGGCAGCAGGGAGCTGTGATTGTGCCACTGCACTCCAGCCTGAGAGACAAAGTGAGATCGTATCTTTAAAAAACAACAACAACAACAATAACAACAAATTTACGTGGTTTTAAAGTAAAAATTGTAAAATAAGCCACATTCAGAGAAGTATAGTTTCTATTCCTGTCCTCTCAACCTTGTTACCTTCCTCCCCTTTTATAATCATTTGTCTGTCTCTCTCTCTGTGTGCACTCACCTTTTTTCTTAGAAAAAATGTTAACATACTCTCAACTCTGTTTTGCACTTTGCTTTTGTCACTTAACGGTGTCCTCAAGATCACTACATGACTGTATATACAGTCATGGAGTGTATATATAGAGCTCTTCCTCATTCCTTTTTCTAGGTGCATATGCTGCCTTATGCCCCACCACATTATTTACTTTTTTTTTTTCAGAACTGAAGTCTCCAGGTAGGTACATTCTTTCTAGACCTTGTGAGGGATAAGTTGGGAGGGTGAGAGAGGGAGCCAACATTTGTTTACTTTTTTAAAAAATGCTTATAGGGATTGGTGGCCACACTTGAATTTGAGTCTGTGAAGAGCAGAGTTTGATTATTTATCCATCCCTAGTGGAGAATCTTTACAGTGGTAAAGTTGGGGAATACTGGATAGATTTTTAATAAAAGGAAATTTCCGCTGGACAAGGTGGCTCACGCTTATAATCCCAGCACTTTGGGAGGCCAAGGCAGGCAGATCACAAGGTCAGGAGTTTGAGACCAACCAGACCAACATGGTGAAATCCCATCTCTACTAAAATAAAATACAAAAATTAGTTGGGTATGGTGGTACATGCCTGTAATCCCAGCTACTCAGGAGGCTGAGGCAGGAGAATCGCTTGAATGTGGGAGGTGGAGGTTGCAGTGAGCTGAGATCATGCCACTGCATTCCAGCCTGGGTAACAGAGTGAGGCTCTGTCTCAAAAATAATAAGTAAATAAGTAAAAGAGGAAGTTTCCTCACACTTATTTATACCCCACAGCTTCTTGGATAGAGGTAGGGCAGTTGCGGGCATCTATGGCTGCTGCTAAGAATACCCATAGCACACTCTTGAGGCAAACTGCCTATTCTTGGTGGACTCCCACCACCGGCGCTTCCAAGGGATTGCTTCCACCTTCTTTCCTCCTTTCTTGTTTTTGTTTTTTTGTTTTTGAGCTGGAGTCTCACTCTGTCACCCAGGCTGGAGTGTGGTAGCGTGATCTCACCTCACTGCAACTTCCACTGCCCAGGTTCAAGCTTTTCTCCTTTCTCAGCCTCCTAAGTAATTGGGATTACAGGAGCATGCCATCGTATCCAGCTAATTATTATTATTATTATTATTATTATTTGTATTTTTAGTAGAGACTGACGGGGTTTTACCATGTTGGAGAAGCTGGTCTCGATCTCCTGACCTCAAATGATCCACCCACCTCGGCCTCCCAAAGTGCTGGGATTACAGGCATTAGCCACTGCGCCTGGCTCCTTTCCTTTTCTTTTACTACCTTTTCGCCTAGATGCGTCACTCAGAAATAGAAGGTCCCTCCTCCTCATCTTGCCCCCTGCAACTCCCACAACTGTTTCTGATGGGAGTGTTTCCCCTGGATATATGGTCCGCATATCCAAATCTCTGCTCTTCTCAGTCATGTCCAGTGAGTGCTTCTCACTGAGGGGTACACCCAGGAGCAAGTAACATTCCTTTGCCTTTGGGCCATAGACCCTGTACCTGTGTGATCAGGGAGTGGGGAAGTGGATATAGATATTTTGTTTACTTAAGTACATCAACAGTTGAGAAGAGTATGAGGAGAGAAAAGGAGCCAACAAGTCAGAACTACCACCACAGGAGCTTGAACTCTGGGACCTGAGAGTAGATCCCAGGGTCTGTGTGTTCCCCGCCATCAATGCAGAGCCAATCCTAGGATCCCAGCCTCTAAGCTGAGAGACCTTCAGCTAGGCTGCACAGGATGGTGTTTCCCAATCTAGCTTGGTTTCTCTTGTTGAATGGAAACTACAGGCCATTTTGACTTCCTTTGGGAGGATTGTCTCAGTGTGTTTTATTGAAGAAAAACAAGCTTCCTCTGGAGGTGGCATCAGATCTGTTACTCTTTCTTGGCACATGATCTTTGATGTGCTTGTTCTCTCACTTTGCAGCTGAAGGAATGTATCCGAGCACTGGATCAGGAACACACGCATACTCCCTTCAGGCAAAGCAAACTAACTCAGGTAAAGTTAAATGTGAACTTGAGTTTGTTCTGATTCATTCATTTCTTCCTTATTTCATGTATGTGTTCATTCAGTCGAGTATCCACTGTCAGTAAAGACATGATGCTGAGCACAGTGGGGAAAAGAGAAGAAAAAGGAGTCACATTCCTTCCAGGAACTCTGTCTACAAGTTGAGTATCTTTAATCTGAAAATCTGAAATGCTTCAAAAATCAAAACTTTTTTGTTGTTGTTGTTGAGACAGGGTTTTGCTCTGTCACCCAGGCTGGAGTGCAGTGGCATGATCTTGGCTCACTGCAGCCTCTGTCTCCTAGGCTCAAGCAATCCTCCCACCTCAGCCTCCCAGGCAGCTGGGACTACAGGTGCGTGCCATCATGCCTGGGTAATTTTTTGTTTTTATTTTTGTTTTTTGTAGAGACGGGGTTTCACCATGTTGCCTAGCCTGGCCTTGAACTCCTGAGCTCAAACGATCTGCCCTCCTCAGCCTTCCAAAATGCTGGGATTACAGATGTAAGCCGCCATGCCTGGCCAAAATTAAAAACTTTTCGAGTGCCATGATGCTCAAAGGATTTCAGATTTTTGGATTAGGGATGTTCAACCAGAAGGATAATGCAAATATTCCAAAATCTGAAGAAAAAAAAACATAAAATCCCAAACACTTATCTTCCCAAGCATTTCAGATAAGGGATATTCAGCCTATAATAGAACTTTATAAAGGGGCAGACTCAGGCAGAGATATCTGCAGTTTGGGGCAGTAGGGGTTCCTAGGGGACAGCAATGCTGTTCTGGTCACCACCTTTCTGTTTATTTCCAGTGTATGGTAACTCTGGGCAGGGCACAGTGGCTCATGCCTGTAATCCCAGCACTTTGGGAAGCCAAGGCAAGAGGATTGCTTGAGTCCAGGAGTTCCAGACCAACCCGAACCACATCGGGAGACCTCATCTCTATAAAAAAATTTAAAAATTAACTGGGTGTGGTGGTTCGTGACTGTGGTCGCAGCTACTTGGGAGGCTGAGGCAAGAGGATCAGTTAAGCCTCAGAGGTTAAGGCTGCAGTGAATTGTGATCACGCCACTACAGCCTGAGTGACAAAATGAGACCTCATCTTAGAAAAGAAAATGTTGAATAAGTGGAGTCTCTGAGCCTTTGCATTAAGTAGAGTGCTGTAGCTGTACTTGCTACTTTCTTGGCTGTAAGACTTAGACAAGTGTTTTGGCACAAAAAAAATAATGGCTTCAGGCAGTTAAAATGAATGGGCTAGATTTTCTACATGTACTGATAGGAAAGATGACCAGGATCTATTGTGATGTGAAAAAAGCAAGCTGTAGAACAAGGTAATAAGGTGATTGCCTATGTGCTTTCTATTATTATGTAGCCACACAGGGGAAAATGTTTAAAAAGATGCAGAAGAAACAGCATTAGATCTCTTTGGAAGTAACAATGGGAATAAAGGTGAAACTGCAACTTTTCATGTTAGAAGATCATATATTGTATGACCACTAAATGTTTTTATCACTTTTAAAATGTGCAACAAGGAAAAAAACACTACACAGAAAAATTACATAAATGTTAACTATGATTATTCTTAGTGGAACAAATAAGGGTTTTTTTGTTTTGTTTTTCTGTCATGAAAATGTGCCACTTTATTAACAGAAAACACCAATAGATGTTAAATCAGCATTCACAATGGCTGCGGAAGAGTGGCACGGGAGGGTCTACCTAGGTGTAAACAGCTGTGAAGACAGTTGTGGGTGCCCTGAGTTCTTTTTCGACTTGTGTGTCTGCACAGTGGAGAACAGACAAGGTAGAGGGATGTCTAGGAGAAGATCTTTTTGTATGCTGCAGGATGAAGCCAGCCCCGCAGGTGGGCAGTTTTATTCTGTGCACCTAGGGTAGCAGCTCTATGGGACCTGGGCAGAACCTGTAAGAACATAACTCCTTACCCATCAGAGTTGTTGGTCTATGAGTTAGGTCTTTTCAAACATGATTTTAACCAAGGACACAGGAAACCTACTTATAGGTGGTTAGTCCTGATTCTGACATTGACTCTTTTATTTTTTATTTATTTATTTTCTAGAGGAATCTTGCTCTGCTGCCCAGGCTGGAGTACAGTGGTGTGATCTCGGCTCACTGCAACCTCCACCTCCTGGATTCAGGCAGTTCTCCTGCCTCACCCTCCCAAGTAGCTGGGACTACAGGTGTGCACCACCATGCCCATCTGATTTTTGTATTTTTAGTATAGATGGGGTTTCACTATGTTGGCCAGGCTAGTCTTGAATTCCTGACCTCAGGTGATTCCCCTGCCTCGGCCTCCCAAAGTGCTGGGATTACAGGTGTGAGCCACCACACCCGGCTAGCTCTCTTATTTTTTACAAGTTTCCCATTCCAAGAAAATGTTTCTTTTTAATTAAAACATAGTAATTCCAACTGTACATACAAGTATAAAGAAGAAAGTAAAAGGTAACTTAAAATCCCAGACCTCAGTGATAACCACTGCCACGTTAGCGAACTTCCTTTTAGTCATCTCTCCATCATGTAGACTCATATGGATCCGCTTACAGAGTTATGGAATCATATACCTTTTTCCCTCAAAGATACAAGCTTTAGATACCTTTCTGTGTTCCTAAGTACAGGTAGAATCATTTTTAATGGTTTAATTATATTCAGTGTATATTTTGCTCCCTGTTTATAAATACCTAGATTATTACTAAATATTACTATTATAAATAATGTAATGAATGTCACATATACCTTTTTTTGGTCAATTGAGCAATTATTTCCTTAGGATAAAGTCCTACAAGTGTGATTGCCAAACCAAGAGTAACATACTTTTTCTTGTTTTGTTTTGTTTTTTTGAGACAGGTTTTTGCTATGTTGCCCAGACTAGTCTCAAACTCCTGGGCTCAAGCGACCCTCCTGCCTCAGCCTTCTGAGTAGCTGGGACTACAAGTGAGTGCCACTGTGCCTGGCTTTTTTTTACATTTTGATACATATTGCCAAACTGCCCTCTGGAAAGCTTGTCCAGTTCATGGTACATGGCAGTGTAAAAGAGTACCCGTTTCCCTGGACCCTCATCAGGGAAGAGCATCATTAGTCTCTTAATCTTAGGAGTTAAAAATATTGTTTTTTTTTAAAACGGTTTGTTTGCATTTTTTGGATTGGTGATGTGGTGAGTACCTTCTTCTGCGTTTATTGGCCATTTGTATTTCTTCTTTTGTGAATTACATTTTTGTGGACAGAGGGGAACTATGGCCCAGCATCCTGCACCTAGTAAGTAGTCAGTATGGATTTTGTTAATTGACTTCATTGACTTCCTTCTGTTTTGCACAGGTCCTGAAGGACTCTTTCATTGGCAATGCCAAAACCTGCATGATTGCCAACATCTCACCAAGCCACGAGGCCACTGAACACACTCTGAATACCTTGCGCTATGCTGATCGGTAAGTCAGCTACCAGATGGCATGTTGTGTGTAAGTGTGCATGTGCATACCCATGCAGCACTCGTGCGTGAGCAGGTGTGCACAAGTGTGTGTGTGCACATGCATACACATCTCTCCCACTCACACACACACAGGGATCTGACTTTGAGCGCCACAGCCTTGTTCTTGGCAATCAGTCATTTGAAGACTGTAACCTGGTAGGCCCTATCACTTTGCAAGCATGACAAGAGGAAGATGACACATTCCCTGTTCAGGAGTTGACTCCATCAATGGCTTTTAATGGCTAGGGGGAAGTGAAATATTAACAGGTGGAAGGCTCAGTGATGTTTTCTTCCTTCTGGCATCAGCCTGAATTGTAATAAATAGAAGATATTACTTGTCAAGGCAGAATCACTTAGAGCTATGTATGTCCGGAAGGGCCCAGCCCAGACATGTTACTAGAGGATAAACTGAGGCCGAGAGAAGGGTAGGATCTTTCCAAAGGCTCACTCGGAGTTGATGTCAGAGCCAGCAACTCTGACTTCCTGGCCAGGCCTCTTTCCAGGTGACTGTGATATCTGCTGGGGTCCCTTCTATCTCTAACCCTGTAGTCACTGTGCCTCTCCCAGTAGGTAAGACATTTTTGATTGCCATGACTGGGAAGAAGTGCTACTGGCATCTTGTGAGCAAAAGGCAGGGATGCTGCTAAACATGTTTTAAGAAATAATTATCTGGTACAAAATGTCAATAGTGCTAAGGTTCAGAAACCCTGGGAATAAACAAGTCATTTTTCCCGTAATGAAATGAGCACAAGCCTGTGTATTTCTGGAGGTTTTGCTTCCTAAAGTACCCTGCAGATTTGAGGGAACTCATTTTCCCAGAGAAGCATTAAAGGGGTAGTTTGCAGAAAAAGAGGACTCTGTGGAATTGCAGGTAAGTGGTGGACAAAAACTCCTGAGTTGGCCCCTCTCCAGGAAACACAGTGTGGGCTCTGCATGAACACAGTGCACTTCTGAGATTGGCGTCTCTGGCCTGTCCCTTACGTGGGCTGTGGTGATTTCCAAAAGGCTTCTTCTGATCATGGAATGTTGGGTGCATACTAATATCCTCAGAGAAGGCACTGCTGGTTTTCGTTTCTTTGTTTTTTAAAGACAGAGTCTCACCCTGTCACCCAGGCTGGAGTCCAATAGTGCGATCATGGCTCACTGTAGCCTCGAACTCCAGTGGTCAAGCAATCCTCCCTGCCTCACCCTTCCCAGTAGCTGGGACTACAGGTACACACCACTTTGCCTGGCTAATTTTTTTATTTTTAGTAGAGACAGGGTCTTGCTGTGTTGTCCAGGTTGGTCTCTAACTCCTGGGCTCAAACGATCCTCCTGCCTCAACCTCCCAAAGTGCCAAGATTACCGATGTGAGCCACCACAACCAGCCAACACTGCTCTTTTTCATTCAGGTACAGAGGGGAATCTCATGCTGAAACAGAATGTTCCCGTTTCCTCTTATGCTATCCCAGATCAAGAAATAACTCTCAATCCTTGTAATACTTTTCTTTGGTTTTTGTTTTCCCAGAAAGCTATAGAAAAGGAATTGCAGAATATGTGAAAATACACATTTAACATAAAATGATTATTTACAGGGTCAAAGAACTAAAGAAAGGCATTAAGTGTTGCAGTTTAGTAAGCAGTCGAAATCGGACAACTGGAAACTCCTCTCCAAAACGAATTCAGAGCTCTCCTGTGGCCTTGCCAGGGGACAAATGTTCTCCCAAAAAAGTCAAGCTGGGACTTCAGCAGTCACTCACAGTGGCAGCCCCTGGCTCCACGAGAGGGAAGGCCCATCCTCTGACCAGCCACCCACCTAACATTCCTTTTACTTCTGCACCTAAGGTCTCTGGTAAAAGGGGTGGCTCCAGAGGGAGTCCTTCACAAGAGTGGGTCATTCAGACTAGCCCTGTCAAAGGAACCGCGCAGTCTGGACATTTGGCCAAAAAAAAGGCAGAAGAGTCAGCACGATTGTGCTCTGAAAAAAATCGAATAGGCAGCAAAACTGCCCTTGGGTGGGGAAGCAAGGCCTCAGGCCCAGGAGAAGACCTAGTGCGTGGTAAGCTGTCTACCAAGTGCAAGAAAGTGCAGACCATGCAGCCAGTACAGAAGCAGCTTGTGTCGCGAGTTGAGCTCTCCTTTTGCAACACCCACCACAGAGCAGAGCACAGTCAAGACAGCCACAGGGGCACGCCTGCCAGGCCTGCCTCTGAAGCTTGGACAAACATCCCGCCACATCAGAAGGAGAGGGAGGAACATTTGCGTTTCTATCACCAGCAGTTCCAACAGCCACCTCTCCTCCAACAGAAGTTAAAATACCAACCACTGAAAAGGTCTTTATGCCAGTCCAAGCCCCCAGAGGGTCAGCTCACAAACGAGACTTCCCCTCTGTTCCACTCTTACTCTGAAAACCATGATGGAGCTCAAGTAGAGGACCTTGATGACAGTGATTTCAGCGAAGATTCTTTTTCACATGTCTCTAGTCAGAGGACCACAAAGCAAAGGAATACCCTGGAGAATAGCGAAGACTCATTTTTCCTGCACCAGACATGGGGGCAGGGTCCTGAGAAGCGGGTGGCAGAAAGACGGCAGAGTCTGTTTTCTTGTCCCAGGACAGAAGGTGACAAGAAAGGTCTAACTAAAAGCTGGGTATACTCCAAGGACCCCATAAACCACAGAAGAGCAGCACTCGATCACAGCTGCAGCCCAAGTAAGGTGCCCGTGGACTGGAGCAGAGAGTACTCTACCTCCTTAGGACCTTCTCCCAGAGATAGCATGGCAGAGAAGCCTTACTGTTCACAGGTGGATTTCATATAGCCAGGAAAGAGGTAGAGGCTCTTCCTTTGATCTCAGACAGGATGCCTCCCAAAGTGAGACTGCTGGGCAGAATGAGGGCAACTTGCCATCCCCAGAGGAAAATGGTTTCACTTTCTCACTGTCCCACATGGCAGTTCCTGGATCCCCACACCAAAGAGACATAGTCACCACACCTCTGAGAGAAGTCAGCATAGACAGCCCAATCCAGGTGACCACCACTGTGAAAAACAGTCATCCTGTCCCAGGAGAGGACCCTAGGGGACAGTTAGGCTCGCACGCTGAATATGCTGGACTCATGGCTCCCCTCACCATGTCCCTCCTGGAGAACCCAGATGACGAAGGCTCACCTCCCTTGGAGCAGCTGGTCCAGGATGGAGCTATGCACAGTCTAGTGGCAGAGAGCACCAGGGGCCCAAATGTGGACCACACCGTGTCATCTGGTGATCAAGAGGCAGCCTTGCCAGTGTCTTCAGCAACTGGGCACCTGTGGCTGTCCTCATCTCCCCCTGATAATAAGCCTGGCGGTGATCTTCCAGCTCTGTCCCCATCACCCATACTTCAGCATCCAGCTGACAAGCTGCCCGGTAGGGAGGCAGACCTAGGAGAGGCCTGCCAGAGCAGAGAGACTGCACTTTTCTCCCACGAACATGTGGGTAGTGAGCAATATGATGCTGATGCAGAGGAGATGGGGCTGGATGGCTCCTGGGGTTTCCCAGGAAAGCCCTTCTCTACCATATGTACCGGGGTACCCCATTCTGGACCTACACTCACCCCACAAACAGGAAGTAGTGACGTGGCTGACCAACTCTGGGCCCAGAGGAGAAAACATCCTACAAGGCTTGGTTGGCAGATTGGTTTGTCCACAGACCCCATCAAGTTGCCCTGCAACAATGAGAATGTCACATTGCTCAAACCCAGGCCGATGTCAAGGTGCTTAGCAAGGCCACGTTCTCCCCTGGCCCCCAGCTGCTCTCCCAAGACTGCAGGGACACTCCATCAGCCCACCCTGGAGCAAGCACAGTAAGTTGGACACTTTCCTAAGACTTGAGCCCCTTTGGCACCCACTTTCCTCTCCAGCTTACTGTTTTGTCATGGACAAAGAGAAGGCCATGCAGGGGTACACAGGTGAGCTAGTCTGCTTCCAGCTCCAACACTCTGCTTTGGTCCCAGGCCCTCTACAGGAAGTAGAAATGATAGACCAGGCAATAGGCTCCATCTTGTGCCAAGTATGCCAGCTGCAGGCACAACCTTGAGAGCCTTTCTGCAGAGAAACTGGCAATTCCTGTGAAAGAGCAGCAGCACCCAGCCCTGCCCCTCAGTACAGCTGGGGAGTCCATCTCCTTCCCTGTATCTCGTTGGTACTCGTATTAAGCTGGCCCTGGTCAAAACCTTGACCATTTTCAGCAGAGGCAGCTCTCAGCTTAGAAATGAGATCAGCTCCAGAAAGTTGCCCAGGAGAGGATGGGAGGCCAGGAGGATCATGGAGTTCTCTCTGGTGTTCCCAGGCAGGTGGTCATCCGAGCACACCAGGAACAGCTGGATGAAATGGCTGCGCTTGGCTTCAAGGAGGAGACACTGATGAGCCAGCTGGCTTCTAATGTAAGTAGCCCTGACTGGACACTCACTGGCTGTTGGGAATCAGCCTGCAGCTACTTTGATGGTCATCCTTGTTTGCTGTGGCTGTGGTGTGGGGAAAGGGTCTGCTGGCACACACTAACCGTGACTGAGGCCTCGAGCCTCCTCTTGCCACGCCTTTGAGACAGCTTGAGTAGAGGAACAGGTGGAAGATGGTGCAATACGCACTATTCCCAGGCCAAAATGTTTCCAGCCTCTATCAGCTGCTGCCTTCCTGGTGGTTTGTCGGGGCTCCTCCCTGTGCCTAACAGTGACCAGTCTGCTACCTACCACATGTAGTTATTCCTACCAAATACCCTTCTGCCCTACAAAATACTCCCCTACTTGGAAAGTGTCTCAAATGCAGAGAAGTGGGCCCCACCCTGTGCTATAGCAGTTATCCTATATGTTCTCCCACCGGGAGAGTAGCCTGGGTTCTGAAACTTTCCTGCAAGAGGAGGGACTAGAAAAGCAGATTTGGCAGAGCGCCAGCAAGAGCAAACGCTGCATGTGTCCCTTGTTTCCTTCTCAGGATTTTGAAGATTTTGTGACCCAGTTGGATGAAATCATGGTTCTGAAATCCAAATGCATCCAGAGTCTGAGAAGCCAGCTGCAGCTCTATCTCACCTGCCATGGGCCCGCCGCAGCCCCTGAGGAAACAGTGCCATCTTAGAGCCAGATCCTGTACTGAGATGGCAGAGGCCCTGCAGGAGCCTGTGCTGGGATCTCAGGGGCTGGAGGAGCCTTTGCCAGGTCCTCCCTGCAAACATCAGAACCCACATGCTGGTCTTGCCTGTGCCAGCCTCACCCCAGCCCCAGGTGGCCTAGGATAGGACCCACCCTCTCCCTCAGGGCCAGGACCCTGTCCCTCCTCAGTTCCAAGCATAGGAGCACCTCCAGAAAGGGTGGGCCAGGCTGAAGAACCTAATGCCTTTCCCTTGGGCCTAGAGAATTTGCTTAACTGACCCCTTGCTTGTGGGAACATATTTGAGTCAAATAACCCTGAAGATGTTTCTAACTTCGGGGATCAGAGAATGGGGTTATCAGTGGTAACCTAGAGGTTAGAGGTCACAAGACAGAAGACAACATGCTGAGCCCAGAGGCTTCACCAGCTGAATTCTGTGCCTAACTTAGAAGGCTAAACACTGGCCCAAACTAAAACATTGTGCTAGTGGGACCAGTGGGGTGAGCTCTGCCCCTTCAGCTCTTAGAAACTAAATTTGGGATTTAGTGGTTTTAAAAATGTAAATTGGACAAACCTTGATGTGTTACTAACAGCAGCAGGTGTGGGGTAGGCCTTATGCTTCCAGCTGCCTTCCCTTCCTGCAATCCAGTTTTGAGACAGAAGAGGGTGCCTGTGTCACACATCTTTCTCCTCTGACTTTTGCAGGCACGAAAGGCCTCTGTACAATGCCCGATACTCTCATGCTTCCATGGCAGCTCCTGGCTCCTGTCTGGGACACCTCACTCCCAGCCCCCTCACAGAACAGTCCATTTCCTAGGCTGGCCCTTATCTAGGACACCCTGCCCAGCCACCTCACAGAACAGTCCATTTCCTAGGCTGGCCCTTATCTAGGACACCCTGCCCAGCCACCCTGCCTCTCAGGGGCCTGAGCTGGGAACTTTGGCACAGAGTGCTCTGTTCAATAGCCTGAGGCCTATGAAACAGAATTCACACACACAAGCCTTCAGCCAATTTCTGCCTACTGTGTATCTTTTTAGCGAGAAGCAGCTCAGTTTCAGTGAAGACAAAGTAGCCTCCAGGTGCCAATTACTTTAAAGCCACCCTAAGTCAAATGGAGATTCATGAGTCACAGCCTTGGCCCAAATGCCTACTATTATGTGAACTTATTTCCTCCAGATAAAGGATAACTTTTTAAGGTTTTAAAAGGAGGGCTTAATTAAAAGGCCAAGAGAAGGGTTAAATGGCTCTTGAGACTAGCACCCTGGCCTAGCTGCCTTTGTCAGCCTGACACTCCCTCATCTGACCACCAGAGGGCATCCTTATTGGTGTTTCTTAACCCCGGGGCACTGCAGCCCCTCTTCACATGATCACTAAAAACCTTAAAAGATCCAATCTAGCCAAAAGCTCAGGTGGGTCAATGGCACCATATTAAAGACAAGAACACTTACTTTAGGAATGAACCCCATTCTATCGCATACAATAGCACCACTGAGAGCTGATGAAACAGTTTCAATCCAGTCCTGCTTGTGGCGCATAAATGCCTGCTGTTCACTGTAAAAGGGCTGCTGCTTTTCCTGGGTTATCCCCCTGAAGGCCCGGCCTGTCCCAGCTCAACAGTCAGGAAGGCCTATGTCTGATCCAGAGACAGAGGTGCGTCAGGCTTAAACGACTCAGTCTGGCCTTTAAGACAGGTCTTAAGTGGGAAGAAAGTTCTGAAACAGAAAATGGTTAGCTCCTATTCTATCCCCAGCAAATCTAAGCAAGAAATCCTTTTATACACCACACAGCTCCCCACTCCCATAAAATAGCCTTGGTAATAAGTTATCAGAGCAAGACATACCTTTTAGATTTTTATTAGTTCTCTCTGAAGAATCAAAATAGTTAGCAAATTATTTTAGATTCATCAAGACTGTATACCCTTTGTATTTAGATCTTTAATGATGTACACATAATACAAAACAAACCAAAGAGACTGATTTCTATGACTAGGTGTTATTCATTCTGTCATCCTAAAGCAGTGGGCTGGAGGGGAGGCTGTTCAAGGAGAACAGAGATGGAGTTAGTGCTGGCCGACTAAATCATGGCCTGTCTGCTCACTCATTCAATGTGCTGGGAAGGGGCCAGTGATTTCTTGAACTAATAATTGTTTCCTAGAGCAGGGGGCTCTAAAACCCTGGGTAGCAGAGGACTATGGTCCAAACCAAGCTAAAAGAAAGGCTGGGACAGCAAAGCATGGTGACTGCTTGGCAGAAAAGGCAAACTCTGGGCCCCACAGGGAAAAGTGCATTCTTCACACCTCGGAGACATTGCAGAACCAGTGTAACACTATGAGACTTTGTTAGGAGGGGAAAAATTAAACTCCTGGAAGAATCTTTCACTTGCATTCAACTTGATTGGAGTTCAGTCCACCCAGTCTCGGGGAAAGGGGGAGCACCTAGCTCCACAGCAGCACTGAGTCTGGCCCTCCCGCCCCGTCTCCCCAGCTCCTCTCAGCAGCTAGGCCAGGTTTCAGCTGAGGACGTAAGGACCCCAGAAAGACTAGGATAGTCTATCTGGAGGACTGAGGTGGGAAGGACACTTCTCAAAATGCAAATACGTTTAATACGGAAGGAGCCAGGACAGTTCTGGGGGCACTCACATGCTTGAATCTTCCCCACCTTCCCAGCTCAGGGCCTAGGCTCATAGAGACTGGCGAGCACAGTCTCCACACCTGACCTTCTAACCCCCAAAAGAACATCCGGAAGCTGCCCCTTCTCCTTCCCCACAGGTGGGCTCTGCAGGGCCTCCCAGGGATGGTGGTTCTGCAGCAGGGCCTAGGCAGGGCCTGGTCTCAGCTGGCTCCTGCTCGAGCCATGAGGTCTTCCAAAGCATTGTCCTGGTCATTATTGTGTAATAGCAAAACTTCCTTAATGTCTTTCAGCTCAAAGCCCATCTCCTTAAATTTGCTCATTAACTGAAGAAACTCCATCATCTAAGGGGGAGAAAAGAATACAGATTAAAGAAAAGGGTGAGGACACAGCACAGCTGAGTGAAAGAATGTGGGGGGGGCAGGGGGACTGGGGGACAGCGGGATGTCTGCATCCTTCCCCCAGAGCCCAGTGAGTCTCCATAAGGTCCCCTAGCAAGCAGAGGTGGGCCACGGAGGAAACCAAGGCAGATGGGTTTGGTGACAGCCCATCAACCCTCAGGAGACAGCCCAGTCCCAGCTCACTCTTGCTGACTTCTATCTGGGTCCCACCACCCACATTCATCTTCCCACCAAGGAAGGATACTGAACCCAGAAATGGCTGCTCTCCAGGGAGCAGTCTAGACAAAAAGTGCAGCAATCTTCCTCCCTAGTCATCTAAAAGTTTGGCTTTTAGCCCAGGCCAGTGTTCCCTTCACTGGGATTCTGAAGGTTTCAACCCAATGCTTCAACCAAGCCAAACACAGGCCTCAGCCTGTCTGAATACTTGGGAGATTCTGCCCTTCAACTGCTTCTGCATGTAGTTACTGGCAAAGCAAAAAGGCTGTGTATGGGCCAGGGGAGAAAACCAGGATGGACTACTTAGTCCCTGCTTTCCAGAGGGTTCCCCATGAAGTATGAAGATTCCCACCTTTTCTTCTGAACACTGGTGCATTTCCAGAGCCTCTTCCACTAAAAGAGGGTCAAAGCCCTTCTCACAAAGCTGTCCGTGTGCAAAGAGATAGTCAAGAATCTAAGAAAAGAAACAGAGTTTAGCACCTACTACTACTCTTCGCTGTGCTTTCCAAGAGATTTCAACAAACTAGAGAGTGTGGAGTCTGCTCCTTGCACCCCCCCAGGCTATCAGATACTAGATAAGATTTGACTGTGTCCAACACAACAGGACCCCAGTGACTCTTTACTGAACCCACTTCTAAACATGAGTAGCCATTTTCCAAAGGAGCTGCAGCCAGAGCTGACACAGCTACCTGAATGTCAACTCCACAGCCTGGGCAGGCTACTCCTCTAAGAAACTGCCTAAGTTAGAAAATGTCACCAAGGTTTAACACTCCTGTACCCTATTCAACACTCTCTGGCCATATATGACAGGATAAAAATTCCTGGAAGGAAACATTTGACCATACCCCAAGCCTAGCTTTGCTCCTTTTGGAGAGGCCGAGAAAGCAGGGTAGTTGGAGAACAGCTCCAATTTCCCAAAGGTGTCTCTCAGCCTGGGTCCCAGAATAGCTTCCAAAAGAAGTACTGCTCCCAAGGCTGCTGGCTTCCTCTAAAACATGCCCCATGTCCTCACAAACTCACAGAAAAGGTTGGTGCTACAAGTCTGAGGGGCTCTAGGACACAGGCAGCACATGACTCCAGCTCCACACGTCTGAGCCTGCCCTCCTGACTGACCAACCACTCACCTGCTCAATATTCTCTCCTTTCTTCTTCATGGCTCTCAGGACACACTCGTATGAGTAGCCCATGTTGACCACCGTCTCCACACACTGCCGCTCGCTGGGGGACAGCATCTGCAGTTCAGAATAGGCCTGGGGACAGCTGGGCATGTTGGGCACTTGTGACACTGAGAAATTAGGAGGAGTGACCTGGTAGTAGAGAAACAAGATGATCAAAGCAAGAAGACCTGGGCCCCCAAAGAAGTCACTGAAGCAGCCTCGTCCAGGGGCTGGCATTTCTGACACTACTCAAGCCCCAAGTCAAGCACAGTCAGGTTAGAAGAAACAGCTAAGTTGCTAGCCAGACATCACAAAAGGGAATGAGGAGGGGTGGGGGAGTGTCAGCTGAGAGGGAAAAGGCTGGGAGTTCACCTGCAATTGTGGCTGCCCTGCTCTGCCCTCATTCTCCCACCTTGGTGATGGAGAAAGCGCCACAACCGCCACAGGCCCTTGAATGCCCAAATCTCCAGCACTTGAGTTGAAGAAAGAAGTTGTGACTACCCCCAGGACTGATGTCCAAGCTGGCTGCAACGGTTTCTCTCCAGGATTATCCCTTTCCCAAGCTGAAGTATCAGTTCTGAGGGGTCATTCTTCACTTCAAATACTCCCTTTTCGAGCTAACTCTATCCCAAAGTCTTGACTACTTTTGAGCAGAGGCTGTGAGTGTAGTTCTCATGCATAGACAGCTCAGGAACCCAGGGTATTGAGGGAACCCCACACCTTTGCCCTACATCATATACTGTGCTTTGTTTCCTGCTAAAGCTACCATCCTACAGCACCAGGACTGAAGGCATGCTAGCCACACCAGGCTGGATCCCATGGACTGGAATCTGGACTCTAAGGGCCCTGCCCACCAGCTCCCTGCCACTAGAACTTACTAACCCCAAAGTGACAGGCATACAGAGTCCTGTGATTAACTCCCCCACCACTTCTGATCACGAATCAGGCCCAAGGCAGGAAGACAGCACACTCCCAGGCCAAAGGACCCATCCACCATAATAACAAGATCACAAGCTCTTTTACAGCTTGGCGCATGTCCTAAGAACCAGGGAAAATGTTTCAGAGAAAAATTTTTTTATTTCCTTGTTTTATGGGGTGGGGGAGTGAGGGGGGGGAGCGTGGTTAGGTGGTAGGAATCCCTCTGTCCTAGAAGCAAGTTCAAAATTATATAGATATAACCAGATGCTCTCCTCAAAGTCTGCTGGGGAAAGCCAGGAGGGCTACAGGCCTTAGAGCCCACTCTGTGCGTAACCACCTCACCCACAGCACATCTCAGCAGGCCAGACACAGGGCTCTCATTAAGTTATAGGAGTCACAACAAGGCACAGGGATTGGATCACACCAATGTAGCCACTTGGCAGGTCTAAGATTGTGTCTCCCTTTTAAGAGACAAGCTTTACCTGGGCTCAAGAATACCAACAGCCACAGAGCAATGCCAACTCTCACATGATGTTCCCCAGCCAGGAAGGGGCCAGGATTATTCTTCAACTGCCTACCCTTCTCATAATGCTTCCTGAATGCCTGGTGGGATGCAGGCATATACCCAGAATACTGCAAATTACAAACTTTAATAAAATCATATCTATTTTAAACATATATGCAGTACTCTCACATACCCTAATGGTGGAAACTATTTGGTACTCTCTAGGTAAACGTGGCATAAATAACAGAAAACTGGGCCGGGCACAGTGGCTCACACCTATAATCCCAGTACTTTGGGAGGCCAAGGCAGGCAGATCATGAGGTCAGGAGTTCGAGACCAGCCTGACCAACATGGTGAAACCCCGTCTCTACTAACAATACAAAAATTAGCCGGGCATGGTGGCATGCGCCTGTAATCCCAGCTATTCAGGAGACTGAGGCAGAAGAATCACTTGAACCCAGAAGGCAGAGGTTGCAATAAGCTGAGATCACACTACTGCACTCCAGCCTGGGCGACAGACCGAGACTCTGTCTCAAAAAATAAAAAAATCCAGAAAACTGTTCAGATTATTTGATCCAGCTGTCTATTTCTAGGAAACTTGTCTAAAGAAATAATAATAATGCAAACCAATATTTATGTATAGGAATATATCCATCTCAACATCACTTATAATAAGTATTAGGTACAACCTACCAAATATCCAGCATAGGGTATTAGGTTAAATATGACAGTTATTTAAAACATGGTACTTAGAAACATCTGCATTAAGTGAAACAACAGGCTGGGTGGGGTGGCTCACGCCTGTAATCCCAGCACTTTGGGAAGCCAAGGCAGACAGAACACTTGGGCTCAGGAGTTTGAGACCAGACTGGAAAACATGGCAAAACCCTGGCTCTACAAAAATACAAAAATTAGCTGGGCATGGTGGTGCAAGCCTGTAGTTCCAGCTACTTGGAAGGCTGAGGTAGGAGGATCACCTGACTCCAGGAAGTGGAGGTTGCAGTGAGCTGAGATGTGCCACTGCACTCCAGCCTGGGTGACAAAGCAAGACCTTGACTTAAAGAAAAAAAATAAGATATATTTACTAACTGTACATGCTGTACCATTATAGCCATATATTTTTAAAAGATGCATGGGAGAGTAATGAATGATT